AAAAGAGCAATTAAGGGTAAACCGGCACCAATTCTTGTGAATAATTGCCAAAATACCAAAGTCGGTATGTGTATTTTTTTATTTTTTTTTGATAAGTAAGAAATAAATTAAGGACAAGAAATAAACGAGTCTACAAGAGGGTGTCCCCCATCACCAAAACAAACCAGGGGATAAGATCAGGAGGAACAATCCCATCCCAATTAGAGCAACAAGCCCATTTAGCAAGAGAATGGGCAACAAAATTTGAATTACGGCTAACATATTTAAAGCGCCATTTCGGCCATAATCCACTGAACTTTTTGATTTCTTCGATTACCACCTTAGCAGTCCAATGCACGAGGCAAGAGTCACTAACGATGAAAGAGATAGCATCGAGAGTGAGTCGGTATGTGTATTTTGCTCCCAAGACTAACGGACTATATATGAACATTAACATTGATGGAGGGCGGGTGCACATGCCGAAAGATTATAAATGTTTGGGGTGTGGTTGACAAAAGACCAAAGTTGAGGGAGGGTCGATGCAAATTACCGTTGAGAATGTTTAGTGGGAAAATTAAAGGTGAAAAAATTTGCAGTTTCAACTTTCAACTCCCGATAATATAATAATAATGAAAGTGACTTTCCATATTCCCCCGCCTGTTAGCTTTCCCAAACTTTCTCACTTTTCTACATAATAATAATAATAATAATAATAATAATAATAATAATGCAAAAATATCCACTGTCAATAAAGAACTCCTTTTGTTCTTGCATTGCATGTACACCATACTAAGTAAAGATACTATCTTTTGTTTCAACTTTGGTACGGATGCATCATTTTATTCAAAAGTTTTTTCTTTCTGGATTTCTTCTGTAAAGTCATGTTTTTTTTTTTTTTTTTTTTTTGGAAATAAATATTAATTTTTGTATATGCTGAATCTTGTTCAGGGGGAAGAAATTAAATTAAAATAAAGTAGCAAGAAAAGATGATGATGATGATGATGAGTTCTACCATGAAGAAGATGAAGAAGGAAGAAGAAGATAAAAAATCTCAAGGGTTTATTGATTTGATTTTCTCTTGGTCCATTTCTCATATTATGAACAAAGATCTTTACACAAATAAGGTTTCTTGAATCTACTAATAATAATATAATTAATTCTTGCATGCATTCTTATAATATATCTCCAAATGTTTTACTTTTGTTGTTTTTAAACATTTTTATTTTGGCAGGTTAATCGAATTCCAGACAGATTCTCGTCGTCAGACGGTTACTTGAATTCATTCGTCTTCCCGCTTATCGAAGAAACACACGCCGACCTCCGCTCCAATATGACGAGTGTGCACTCCGCGCCTTATTGCGAAATATACGATGTGAAAAAATGTAAAAAGTTTGAGCTTCCGAAGAATTTACTCTACTCGCTTATTTTGAAAAGACCGGAAAATGGCGACAAGATTAATAATACCGGGAAATACGAACCGGAGTCCGGCGATTTAATCGCGTTGACCGACGTGAGGCCGAAGTGCATTGACGATTTGAATAGGCCGCCGAAGAGATCTTATCTAGTTGCTTTAGTTCGAGGCATGAAAGATGAAGGCTTGATTATTACAATCCTATCTTCCAAACCTATTGACTTTGAGAAAGGAGATAAGGCAAAGGGCAAAAGTGGAAATAAACTCTTCGCCGTGTATCTTACGAACTTGACGACGAACATACGGATATGGAATGCTTTGCATCCTGGCAAAGGAGGTGGAAATATGAACATCATCAACTCTGTTCTTGATATCAATCCATCTGTAAGTTCGATTTAGGCGGTCTTTGCAAAAGCTTTAAAAATAGATTGTAAGCTTTTTTTTCTCTCATAATCTGTTTTTAGGTGTTTGCAAAACTGACTTTCGCTTTTGCTTCTCTTAAAATAAGCTGTTTTAAGCTATAGTTTTAAAAGCACTCATGTACCTGTTTTTTCTATTTAAATTGATTTTCCATGTTTTTTGCACACACTCCCAACTTTTAGAATTAAGCACTTAATAATAACTTAACTCACAATCACTAACTTATGCTTTTAAATAAGCTTTTGCAAACACCACCATAATTAGTTTTTAGGTGTTTGTAAAGCTTTTGCTTTTCTTAAAATAAGTTTCTTTAAGCTGTAATTTTAAAAGCACCCGTGTACCTGTTTTTTTTTTATATTTTAGTTGATTTTCCAACTAATTTCCAAACACCTCCAACTTTAAAAAAAAAAGCACTTAATCCCAACTTAACTCACGATCACTAACTTTTGCTTTTAAATAAGATTTTGCAAGCACCACCTTATTACCGGAGATTTATTGAACGTTGTGAAGTTCGTGTAATTCACATTGTATGATTATGTGCAGGTAGAAGAGAGTTGTACTCTTTGCAACTCTACCAAAACCGAGAGCACTAATCAGTTATTGTCGAGAAAAGTTATCAACTCGTTTGAGCTCGATGATTCGCAAAAAGCTGCTGTTACGAATTGCGTTGCGTTGACTGAATGTCATCATGAAAATAGTGTGAAGCTGATATGGGGCCCGCCCGGAACCGGAAAAACGAAAACGGTGGCTTCGTTAGTATTCACACTTTTGAAAATGAAATGCAGGACACTCACTTGTGCTCCGACTAATGTTGCCGTGATTGGTGTCGCGAAACGGTTAATGAGTTGTCTTAGTGGTACATTGAAGTACGATACTTACGGGTTAGGCGATATAGTTCTGTTCGGAAACGGTGAGCGAATGAAGATCGTCGAGCACGAAGATTTACAAGACGTGTTTCTTGAAAATCGTGTTTCTGTATTGGCTCATTGTTTTGCTCCGTTAACTGGTTGGAAAGGTTGTCTAGATCAGATGATGTCACTACTTGAAGACCCTCAAAGCAAATACCAAAGTTATTTGGAACAACTAAAGGAGCAAAACGAAGACGACAACGATACCGACGACGATGAATCGGAGAAGAATAACGAGGAAAAAATGGATGAGAGCGAAACTCTCAAAGAATCTTCGAAAAGGAGTTTCTTGAAGAAGTTAGTCATTCAAAATAAAAAGGAAAACAAGAAGAAAAAATCGAAAGAAAAAGTGTCTTCACAAGAAAAAGGCAAATCGAAGTGCGATGGAGGTAAAGTGGATATTCCGTTGACATTCGAGGAGTTCTTTAGAAAGAGATTCTTTATTCTGGCGGAGAAGCTAGTCTTTTGTACGACAGGGCTGTACACACATTTGCCGACTATGTTTCTACCTTTGGATGTAGTAACCGACATGATTCGAGTTCTTGATATGCTACAATCACTTCAAGATTTTCTGCGTAGAGTTGACGTCACCAAACAAGGGTGCTTAAATCGATCTTTGATCGGAAACGAAGAAACGTTCGAGTGCCTGGAAGCTTTGAAACTCCTTGGTCGAACTTTCCGACTCCCAAATTTTATCGAAGAATATGGAATTCGGAACTTCTGTCTGATACACGCGTGCTTAATCTTTTGCACTGTTTCGAGCTCCGCGAAATTACACACGGAAGGAATGGCGCCGTTGGAAATGGTGATAATAGACGAAGCTGCACAGCTTAAGGAATGCGAGTCGTCGATTCCGTTGCAACTACCTGGTCTTCGCCATGCTGTACTTGTCGGCGATGAGAAACAGCTCCCTGCTATGGTTATAAGCAAGGTCCGATTTAAATTTTTTAAATTTTTCTTCGATTATCGATAATCGACAAGTTTTTTAATATTTTTGTTCTGTATTAACAGATTTGTGAGAAAGCTGGATTCGGGAGGAGTTTGTTCGAGAGGCTTGTGATGTTAGGACACAACAAACACCTTCTCAATATTCAGTATCGAATGCACCCTTCCATTAGTTTGTTTCCGAATAAGGAGTTTTACGGAAACCGAATAAGTGATGGCAGAAAGCATTAGAAGGATCCTACGAAAAAAGATTCCTCGAAGAAAAAATGTACGGCTCGTTTTCTTTCATAAATATAACCGATGGGAAAGAGGAGTTCGATAACCGGCATAGTCGGAGGAATATTGTGGAGGTCTCTTTTGTTTCTGAGATAGTCTCGAAACTCTACAAAGGTATTCTTATCATTAATATTTCGATTTGGGCTTTTCGCATTTATTATTCGAGATCACTAATATTTCGTTGTAATAATTACGTTGTTTTGTAGAATGTATGAAGTCGAAGAAAAGGGTCCGTGTCGGTTGTATATCGCCGTACAAAGCTCAAGTCTTTGCAATTCTAGAATCACTTGGCAAGACTTATAGCACTGACGCGAAAGACTTGTTCTCGGTAAACGTGCGTTCTGTCGATGGTTTTCAAGGTGGTGAAGAAGATGTGATTATTATTTCTACCGTTAGGTGCAATGGGAATGGATCCGTTGGTTTTCTCGATAATCGCCAAAGAGCCAATGTAGCTTTAACTAGAGCAAGGTTACTTTAATTTTCTACATTAATTATAATATTTTGTTACCAATTACATTATTTATACGACGATGATTATTTTGTGGCGCTGCTATAATATATAACAGGTACTGTCTTTGGATATTGGGAAACGGAGCGACTTTGTTGAACAGCGGTTCGGTTTGGCAAAAGTTAGTAATGGAAGCGAAAAAACGGGGCTGCTTTTACAATGCAGACGAGGATAAGAACTTATCACTGACGGTGAGCAACTCGCTGATTCAGCGTCGACAAACGAATTACTTGTTCACTACGGACTCTACACTGTTCAAGTTGGCTATATGGAAGGTATATATGTTGTTCCTCTCATTTAATCGGCTCAATTTACGCAAAAAAAAAAAAAAAACCGTTGCTTCAGATAAATTTCTTGTAGTATGTTGTCAGTGTATACATATATAGTTAAACATGTATAAATTAATACAGTCGGGACCAGTAAAATTCTATTAGTTTAGCGAAATATTAAATTATCGAAATAATAATTTCATATACGTTTTCAACGAGTCGGGGCTGAAAAAAATCTATTATTTAAGCGAGGTTATTAATTTATCGACTGTATATATAGGTTTGCTTCAGTGCGAAATTCCATGAGTCTATTTTGAGACTCAAAGACATGGAAATTCACAATGAAGTAGCTTCTGTACTGGTGAAGCTTTCAAACGGGTGGCGACAGCAGGAGAAGAAAGACGAAATTGCCCCTAGTTCCATTTCTCGGCTACTCGAATTGTATGATGTGAAGGGGACGATAATACTTGCATGGACTATTGAAACAACGAGGCAAAACAATTCGGTAGAAACACAAGTTATCAAAGTATTGGATATCTTGCCTCAGTCGGAAATCGAACAGCTGGCAAAGAAATTCGATGCTGTGGTGGGGAACTACACTATGAATCAAACGAGCCGTTTTCTGTGCAAGCAAATTGAAAAGTAAGTTTTCTTTCTCAGAAATATATCAATAGCCTTGTTATTAATTAGTTATATTCGTGGCTTTTGGCGAATTCGTAAAGTGTTGGTTAATTAAATGATGCAGGGGTTTGATGGTACCGGTGACGTGGCCGATCGAACGTGCAAATGAAAGAACGAATTACGGTAGTAATGAGCTGGCAAATCAGCTAGCGTCGATCAGTTTGAGCGATAACGAGCCTAGATTGTCGCCCAAAACGAGGTATATGCTTTCTTCAACTATATATTTATGAATTCATAGTGACAATGATCAGAAGAATCATTATTGTGAGGACATATATTTGATTTGCCGATTTTATAACTTATTTTGATCATTTTCTATTCAACAGAAAATACGGTGGGATGAGAAGAATTAACCGGAACCGAAGCCGGCGGTAACAATTAGATATATCGACAGTAGACTCGCATAACTATTGTAACACATCTAATCGATATTGCATGTCTTCACATTTATGGGATAATTTGAAAACTATGAAATTTTGACTTCGAAAATTTACTCTTTCTAGACGTTGTTTGGTTGATTAGCTAAGATAAAATTATATAATCTAATGAAATCCAATTGGATTATTGGGTCTTGAAAGGGTTGAGCCTTAATTTGCCTTTTGAGTTCCTATGTCTAATAAAAAACATGTCTAAAAGGCAAAGTAAGTCATGATAACATAATAGTTGCGGGTTGACTCAACATGTTATTAGGATACGAAATATCAAAGAAAGTCCAATTATTTTTTATTTTCTTAATATTTACCGAAAAAAGAAAAAAAAATTGAAACAAAAGTTGAGAGCTAAAATTTTCAGTCATTTGAATTTGAATGCTCAAAGCCAAGTTTTAACTCGACGCTTGATTATAGCTCTAATTAGGGCGAACTTAACGAAGTAAGCAAAACGCGTATCCATATTTTATTTTGGACACTGATGGGGGTCAGTTCAGTACCGTTGGGCTGAA